AATAGAAATAATGGCAAATAAATAATATTTGAAAATAATAGAGTAAAATGTAAAAAAAACTTACCGTCGTCCATTCGACAAACGCAAAAGGATGAGTGCCTTCCGTTTCCTGCGTTGTCCTCCAAAACTGGTGCCAGTCCTCCGAGATTGTTGCTGAAACACAGCCCGTGGAATGGTGAAAGAGAAAATTCTCATCAGAAAGCTTAGCGGTGCCTGCATCTTAAATTGCTTAATAAAAATAATCCTATCTACCTATTTAATTACCTTAACTAATCTATAATAAATTGTTAATGGTACGATAGTCGAAAGTTCCCCTTCATTCTCCCTCCTTGCACAGAGGTTCACCGACAGCCAGGGCACCGGATAGTAAACCATTGCCGTGCGGATAGTAGACTACTGCCTTGCGGATAGTAAACCATTTGCCGTCCGGAAGCCGTGCGGGTAGTAGACTATGGCCATGCCGCATCGTAAATCATTACCGTGCAGATAGTAAACCATTGCCGTCCGGATAGTAAACCATTGCCGGTTCACCACTGGCCGCCAAGGCTTACCTCTGACAAGAGACTTCGAAATTCAGAGTCTATCGGCTATCGTACCCTCAACTTACCTATTCATTACAATTAAGCCCTAGCTTACCTAAAATTACAAAACTCAAGAGCCCAATTCATTGGCCTTTCGGCACCCACCCCACCACCTACGTAATGCCTTGGGCTCCAACTTAGTAATAATAATATAAAACTTAAACCCTAAATCTATTAATGAGTATGTGTTACAACGTAGCCTTAACCTACCTATTCATTACATTACGGTCCTAGCTTACCTAAAATTACAAAACTCAAGAGCCCAATTCATTGGCCTTTCGGCACCCACCCCACCACCTACGTAATGCCTTGGGCTCCAACTTAATAATGATAATATAAAACTTAACAATTAACCTACCTATCGATACACTTACAGCGTTTTAATTTACATTACAAGATTTTTCCTAGAATTACATTGTTGCTCTTAACTACCTACGAAATTAAATTACTCTCAACCTTAGTAATAATAAATTAGAATGTGTAATGAAAATAAAATTACGCTCAAATACTAACATATGTGTTTATGTATGTATTTGTGTGTGTGTAATACGCTGGTGCGTGTAATGTGGGTGCAAGATAAAATAGAAGAGATAAACATACGCTGCCTACCTATTCAACTACATTAGTGTTGGATGCTCCCTATCTATCCTACCTACAATTAAAATTAGGCCTATCTAACCTACCTATATAGCTACTTAATGTAATTGTGTATGTGCGTGTGAGCATTCCTAATTAATGTTAAATTACAGAAAAAAAGAAGAAAACGTATCCCAGTCAGGCAGGTATTCTTTGCCACTGAATGAACGAAAGTAGCCTGACATCTTCCATGATGAACTCCTCTGGAAGCTTCAACCTGAATGAAATGAAAAAATCTTATTTAATTAATTAATTTAAATGAAAATAGAGAAACGAGCCGCGGTGAAATCCACCAGCCGGAAAAGCCAGCAAACTGGCAAAAAAAGAAACCGTTAAGAAACCGTGAAGTCGCAAGTTAGGGTTAAGGTTGAACGTAGGGTAACATCACAACCATTCTGATTCTCCACGACGAACTCTTCCGGAAGCTATAACCTGAATGAATGAACCTGAATGAACCTAGATGAATGAACAAATCTTATTTATTTAATTAATTTAAATGAAAATAGATAAACGCAAAGAAGCCGACCGGTCGGCAAAGAAAAGAACCTCAAAGAAAGGTATCTATATAGAATTTATGCTCTATATAACTCTATATAACTCTATATAACTCTATATAACTCTATATAACTCTATATAACTCTATATAACTCTATATAACTCTATATAACTCTATATAACTCTATATAACTCTATATAACTCTATATAACTCTATATAACTCTATATAACTCTATATAACCATGCATACTACCACATTCAATCAATAAAAATCCCTCTAAAACCAGGAACCACCGCGTACCTGCTGAATGTATGATGTGAAACAAAACAAAAAAAAACACAAAACAAAAATCACACCACCAAGTAGAGTAAAAGAATAGGAGTCCCTAACCTACCTATGTAACTAAATTACCTTATGCCCTAGCCTACCTATAATAAATTAATTTTTACCTCACCTACCCATGCTTCATTAACTTAACTCAAGACTCATGAAGAAAGAGAAAAAGGAGTAAAACAGAACATAAAATACTACCACACAAACAAACATGATGTATGTATGTATGTATGAGCAACCACTAAAGAACCCACCTAAAATATAAAAAAATATAACATACAAACACACAAACCACAGACATGCAAACTCTATATAACTCTATATAACTCTATATAACTCTATATAAAATAAAATTAAATAAAAATAAATAAATTAAAAAAATATAAATATAAAAAAATGAGATCAGGCACTCCGACTCGAGCGAGGCAGAAATGCCTGATCTGATTTCAACGTTTTTTCAGCTCCTATTTATACTCGTTTCAACCATACATTTTCATTATTTCAATCATTCACATCAATAAAAAACTTATTTAATGTATTTACTACACTATTATACAGTCTTAACCAAAATGCTAACCGTACTAAATTGAAGTCATCGAACGAACGCCTTCGAAACTTTCTGGTTGGCTGGTTGAATCTGCTATATTGCTTTTCATATAAACATAATCTAATATAATATAATTTAATTATTTGTATACATGGATTCCAGTCACTTTATATATATATATATATATATATATATATATATATATATATATAATAAAAATTCATTATAAAAGCAACAGTAATCAGTGCTATATATGTAAGCACGCAGCTCAAATTTTTCGGGGAGAATTCAAAATTGTTTGAGACCACACCTTGCTTAACATCCGATTCCAAGCCGAGCCAAGCCAAGCTGAGCCAACATGCATAAATTCAT